TATTGTATTAACAAATCCTTTTAAAATATTATCATGGTTACCCCCCCCCCCCCCCATTCTCAAAGTTTTTCCTTTACAGTGCAATCCTATACTTCAGCCACACCAGCTATAGAATTACATGTGCAATCCTAACCAGAGTTACATTCTTCTAAACTCACTATGTTGAGTGGATTTACAAGGACATAACTATACTTAGGACTGCACTGTATTTTACCCCATGTACTGAACTACAGCTAATCTAAAATTTAAAAAGTGCAAGAGCCAGGGACTCTGCGCCAACATAAATGGGCAGCCAGGACAGTGGGACTATAGCATTCTCTGCCCTTTCATGACTTGGTCCTCAAAGTGATATATACCATAGACTTTAAAAAAAAAACACCGCTGCTTCATTCATCTATTCATCTATCATACTTTGTATTTTCTTTACCTCACTCTCCAAGAAGAAAATTATTAGTGTTTTCAGCTGGCTAGCAATGGTTTCCAGTTTTCCATTTCTTTTTGAGAATGCTTCCATATCAATTTCCTGGACAATCAGTCTGTCAACAAAAAACACATTCAGTCAAATTCCGGTCCCAAAGTTCCAACTTGCAGCAAGCACAGTGCCTTGTCAGGTTATTATAGATTCTGAAGTGTTTACTGTGAGATCACTATTAATACTTTCAGCTGTTAGAAGCACATGATTTTAACAGCAAGCAAAAATCCAGAGTCCTTGTTTAAATGGAACTAAAGTGATTCAATATAATGGGTAAATAATTGATGGGTGAGTATAATTTGATTACCAGTTTGAAAGATACCTATTCTAAACAAAGACTGAAAAGTATAAACATATATAAAAATAATTTAAATTATGCCAGTGACTCTGCACCAACATGAATGGGCAACCAGGGCAGTGGGGCTATAGCATCCTCTGCCCTTTCATGAGTTGGTCCTCAAAGTAATATATACCATAGACTTTAAAAAACACACAACAACCGCTGCTTCATTCATCTGTTCATCTGTCATACTTTGTATTTTCTTTACCTCACTCTCCAAGAAGAAAATTATTAGTGTTTTCAGCTGGCTAGCAATGGTTTCCAGTTTTCCATTTCTTTTTGAGAATGCTTCCATATCAATTTCCTGGACAATCAGTCTGTCAACAAAAAACACATTCAGTCAAATTCCGGTCCCAAAGTTCCAACTTGCAGCAAGCACAGTGCCTTGTCAGGTTATTATAGATTCTGAAGTGTTTACTGTGAGATCACTATTAATACTTTCAGCTGTTAGAAGCACATGATTTTAACAGCAAGCAAAAATCCAGAGTCCTTGTTTAAATGGAACTAAAGTGATTCAATATAATGGGTAAATAATTGATGGGTGAGTATAATTTGATTACCAGTTTGAAAGATACCTATTCTAAACAAAGACTGAAAAGTATAAACATATATAAAAATAATTTAAATTATTATTCATTAACTTTTTATTGATATATTTATGGTCCACCATTCCTTGGACAACCTGAACCCAATAGTCATTCAGATTAGAATCCCATGCCTGCAAATCCCAACACAGACTTAAGTGTCATTCTTCTGAGGTTGTTCAGTGTTAGGTTAAGGGCTCATAATCATTGCTTGGCATTTCCTCAGTGGGTGTTAATTGTCAGAAGATGATCCCCAGATGGTTCTGTCAAAGTATCCATGACAGTTTGGAGAAGGTGGCTTCTCCCCACTGAAGGGAAGGAGCAGGTATATATTTATGTGTGAAGAAACAGCAGGTTTTGAGTTTCTAAGAGAGGCAGATTGAAGCTGTTACAAGTTGGCTAGAACACTTTGGGCATAGATGCATTTTGTCTCTCTCTGGAGATCTGTTTCCCTATGAGTGCCTCCTTGTCTCCAGCCACACTTGTATATAGTAAACAAAGCAAATATTACAAAAAGCAACATAAGATTTCAGTGCTTTCTCTTCCAAAGGGAGCCAACCCAACCGTTTTATATTTCATATAATTTCAGCCTCCCATCAGAATAGTGTGGGTTGGGAGTCAAGAGCCCTCTCCTCCCCCTCACTACTGCCATAAACAAATTGGGCCCATCTGTGGTTTTTACACACAAATTGGCACAGAGACTTGGAACCACAGTATGGCTACAAGCCCCTGTGACAAACTCATGAAAAAAGTAATATCTAGTTTAGATCTGAAATATGTACTGTATCACTGTATAGATACGAATAGCGTTATTCAGCTGATTGATTTTTGACAGGATTATTAATCAGGAAAGAACTGGGCAGTGAAGCAGTTAGGAGGGAATGCAGACAATACTTCATTCAAGAAATAGCAAAAGATATACAGGGAAGAACCCCATAATAGATGGAAATCTATCTGTATTTGCTGAAAGAAGTCTAAAGGGAAGTAACAAAATGTGTGAAAGACTGTACAGATATCTGGAGAAACAGAAAGAACTGAGGGGGGGGGGGAAATCCTGCAAACCACAGTGACCAAAGCTCAGGTGCAGAGTCTATAGTGGGAAGTACATGCCCTTGGGCACACTCACACTACTAGTACTTATACCTGAGGAGAAATGACCTTGATGCAGCCAGCAAAAGGATGGGACCAAGTTAATAAAGAGGTGTCACCCAATTGTTGTTCTTTTTCCTATATGGAAACTATTGGTTGTACATTTAACTACGGAATCTGATATCTTGAGCAGGAGCAAGTTTTCTAAGAACCACTTCTTAAAATCTTCTTTTTATTTGGTTACAGATAACCAAATACAAAGCATATGTGCAGCCCGACAGAAGGAGAGTGCAGAAAAGTATCAGTTCCAGATGGGTAGCTGTTTTCGTCTTTTGGTTGCCACAAAAAGGGGTCTTAAAGACTGATATATTCAGTCCTATCATGAGCTTTTGTAAATAGAAGCCAGCTTAATCAGATGCATGGAGTGGATCCTAGGTAGGCACCTACACACACAAACACACATGCTTATAAAAACAAAAGTTGTCAACAGCAGGTAAAAAGATGATGGAAAGAAAGAACTACAGGGTGTAATGATAAAAAATGCAAATATACTCAAGAAAAAGAAAGAGACCATTCACATAGATCATGCCCTGAAACAAGCCCATATGCCAGCTCTGTCTCCGTATCTATTTAGGCAACACTATTAGAGGATCTAAAAACATCAGCCAGACCATCTAAGGCTCATCTAAGGCCACCCTGAGCCCTTTGAGGGGTGGGATATAAGTATGGGGTGGGATATAAGTCTATAAGTAAATAAATAAAATTCACTTGCTTTTCCCCCCATATGATACATGCCACCATGCGTCAACAATGCCCTTTTGGTCATTACAGGGATGAACAGATCAGTAACTAAGCAAAAAAGAAATGAGAACCAGGTGTGTGCATTCAGATACACATGGGCTGAAAATATACCCCCAAAATACCTTATTAATATTTTTCAGGTATATTCAGCATCCCAAATATATCCGGGATTTTTAAAGAAAACCAAAAAATAGTCATCGTCGTTCCCTCCCCCCCAAAATCACAGAAACATTCAGGAATCACAGGGCAGATAAGGAGCCATCATTTGCAAGCTTCCGGGGAATGTTTTTGCTTTCCTTTTCTTCCCCCCCTGCTTTTTCCTGTGTGTCAGGGGTTTGTATGGGTTTCCCAGATGCTTTTGTCAATTTCTTTTCTTTGCCAGCATTCCTTTGTGTTCCCTTCCCATTTTCTTGCACACAGCTTGCAAAATCCTGCCCCTCTTGCTAAGATTTGTTCTGCCTCCATGCTTTGAGGCTTTGCATTAGTCCTGTTACACTTGAACTGCCACAGTGGCTCTGGGTTCTGCTGGGCATTCTGTACACATCAGTTGGTTGTGCTGGGCTTACAAAAATACCCCTCCTTCAATTTGTACTAGAGATTCTTTGGTTTGACATTAGTCCTCTTTTGCTTGCACTGCCACAGAGGCACTGGTTCTGCTGGGCATTCTGTACAGTGCATATCTGGTTGTACTAGGCTTCCAAAAATCCTCCCCCCCCCACATACACACACCTTCAGTTTGTACTGAAGAAATTTTCTGGTTCTGCTGGGCATTCTGTACATTGCAATTTGTTATGCTGGACTTGCAAAATCCCCGCCACCAATTGCTTGGATTTGTTGTGATTCTGTGCTTTGACATCAGTCCTGTTAAGCTTACATTGCCACAGTGGCACTGGGTTCTGCTGGTCATTCTGTACATTGCAACTGGTTGATCTTGGCTTTAAAAAATGCCCCCCCTTCAGTGCAGAGATTCTCTGGGTTTTGGTTCTGTTTGGCTTGGCACATTGGCTTGTGGTTCTGCTGGGATTACTGAGCTCTGCAATGGTTCTGCTAGACTTACTGTTTGTTCTCAGTGATTACTACTTGCAGGCATAGCCATTTGCCCTGGAATCAGCTTGCTGTAAATAATGGAGAACAACTGGAGAAACCCTGTTCAGGGCCCATAAAATTGGACCCCTTGACCCAATCAACTTGAAACTTGGAGGTTATTTAAAGGACAGGAACCAGCAGCTAAGAACAACTCCCCCAGCCACCTGGAAACCTTTAAAACAACCATTCCCCATAGAACCATTCCCCGGGCATTCCCCATAAAAAATAATGGACCTCAAAAATTCAGAATTTTTTTTAAAAAACCTCAAATCCAAATACCATACCAGTATTTGGAACTCAGGAATATTGGGAATACCAATTTTTTCAGGTCCAATATACCCAAACCTGGAAAAAAACTATTTTTTTGCACACCCTAATGAGAACACAGAAAGGGACTCTAGTACACAGAAACCTTTGCTAGAATAAAAATGTAAGGATACAGACTGATATGGAGAACACATGCAAGTATCGATGCCAGAGAGGTTGGGGTAATTTAAACCTTGAGTGCTGCAAGGCTCCTGCTTATTTTACATACATGTAGAATCACTGTGTTTCTCTTTAAAATTCACAGTAGTAGCATGCAAGAAAAGAAGAGCTCCTGTTTGCATGTACTTTAATAGCAAAGGGAGTAATTTGTTCCCAAGTTCACAGTCCCTCTCTGAATGTGCATATATTTGCATTATACTGAACTATAAAGCACTTTTTACAAAGTAGCCACGTGACTCCAACTTGTACTTTAAAAAACACACACATGTAGGTAATTTCAGTCGAGCAGCTAGATTCAAGTCCAGTAGCACCTCAGGGAACAGCAAGATTTTGGGGGTAGAAGCTTCATCAGGGAGCTTTGACTCTCGAAAGCTTGTTGGAAAGGTAAAGGGTTTTTTATAACTACAGAGATTACAGTGAAAACATCGAGGCTAGGCAAGATTTCCAGTGGATCTGGGATGAAGCTTCAGGGCACAACATGGTTTTATCTTTAACTTATTTTTTTTTAATTCCAGACAAAGCAGAATTCCATTGATGCAGATGTTGGGTCTTAGCACAGACAATACTGGCCCTATAGTGCTCACGTAACAAAAAAGGACATACAAAATAAACTAAGATTGATACTGGAAGTGTATATTCTGTTTCATCACATACCAAGGGACAATAACATGGCATCTTCAGTATCCCTATGCTACTCCATACACACTTGCGCATAGCTAAATGTGAATCTCTCTGTATGGAAAAGCAGCAAACGTCAGCCTAGAGTACTGAATGGGGAACACCATGTATTACGTTGCTATAGGATGCAAGACCAAATCTGAAGTTGAGAAGCTAACAAAGCAATACATAAAAATAGCCAAATTGAGTACCTTTTGTAAAGTAGCTCCCCAGCTGCTACAGCCAGTGGTCGGTGGGTGGTGTAAACAAACTGGTATAAGGTTTCACAGTCTTCAGATGACAATGAATCTTCACAGTTCCTGTACAAAGACATAGTGTTAACTGTATTTTGCTGAAGAGGCTATTGTTACATACGCTAAGCCGATAATGCCTTGGTTGGGACTTAATTTGTCACTACCTTGCACTCCCTGTTTGATACGTTTTCCAAATGAACACAACAATCCCATACAATTTAAATGGAAGCATTTTGATGGCACCAGCATTCAGGCCAACGTAAAATGAAAGGCAGTGTAGGAGTGATCCTCTGGGCATCCAGAAACAATCTCTTAAGGCTATGTAGGCCATAGTCAGACTTGACTACAAATCTTTATCTGGGCATCCAGAAACAATCTCTTAAGGCCATTGTCAGACTCGACAACAAATCTTTTGACTCAGTGACAGGCATGGAGACAGCTTGTTCCTGTGCTTGTGCACTCGCTCCCACCTTCCCTCACACACACAGCACAACTGAAGGGTTCTGAGCAATGTTCCCTCTAAGATGAGTTAGTGTGAACTAGCTCACAGTTTTTTAGCTTCTGGCTCACACATTTTTTTCTTAGCTCAGGAAGGATGGCTCCAGAGCAAATTGATTTATGCAGTAGCCAAATCCCTTGTTCAGAACTTTAATTCCAGTAACTCGCAAAGTAGAATTTTTCCTCACAAGACTCCACAGCTTAGAGGGAGCATTGGTCTCTGAGTATGGGAAGCTCTCGGTCAAACGTTAATTTGCAATGATGTCCAAATGCAGGCAAACTTCACAAACTGGAATTTGTTTCCTCCCAGGTTGTAGGGAAGGTACAAACAACTGTTGGCCCAAGTGCTCCATGCAGAAGAGAAGAAGGCCAAAGGGAGTGCATGAGCAGGGAGGCAAACAGAGGCACACCATGACATTTGCATGGGGCCATATTCAGAACTTTAGGCAAGTATTAAATAAATATATAACCTACAGACATGCCAAGAAACTGAAATATCTTTTTCCCCATTGTTTATTTATAGTTTTTAACAATAAATACATCTTATCTTCGTTTTACATTTGATATTTGTGCGAGTCATTTTTATGTTACATTTGAATCCGGAAATTGTCCATGCATCAGAAGATGGAAGGATACTAGCAATAATGATTACAAGACAACAGAAGAAATCTTTGATAATAAATATCTACGCACCAATTCAAAACCAGGAACAATTTTTCAAAAGTTTAAGAAATCTGCTAAGAACATATAATACAATAGAAACATGTATAATTGGAGATTTTAATGCAGTAGTTGATGGGAGAAAGGATAGAAAAACTCAAGCTTCACGTAAAAGATCAGGAAATAAGCTACCAAAAGAATTCTTAGAATTGAGAGAAGAACACAGTTTGGTGGACACTTGGAGAGTGAGAAATATTAATAAGAGTGACTATACATTTTATTTGGTGAGACATAACTCTTAGTCTCGAATAGATATGGTCTGGATTTCTACCACATTAGTCCCAGAAATAATAGATACGGAAATACTACCCAATACATTTGCAGACCATAGTCCATTAATGTTAACATTAAGAGATAAACAGCGGCAGACAAGATGGAGGATGAATAAAAATTTAACAAAAGACAAGGAATTTGATTAAAAATTGAAAGAAGAAATCACAGATTTTTTTAAACGTAATATACAACCTGAAACTCCAATAGTCTGGCATGCCTTCAAAGCTTATTTAAGAGGCTGGTTTATTAATCAAGAAGCATGGGAAAAGAAACAAAGGAGGAAATAATATGAAAAACTCACAAACCAAATACAGAAGGAGGAGGATAAGCTTAAAAACACACTTATGAGAATAGAAAAAATAAAAGCAAATCTTAGAATCTTACATCATCAAATGAATCTCACTTTAACTCAAGAAATAGCTAAAAATATAGAATTTGCCAAACAATACTACTTTGAAAATGCCAATAAACCAACAAGATGGCTAGCTTATAAACTGAAAAAACAAGAAGAAAAAAAGATAATAAAATCTCTTAAAAACGAACAGGGTGATGAGAAATATAAAATATCAGACTTGAAAAATATAATTGAAGAATTCTATAGGAAGTTATACCAACAAAATGAACAAGATACAGAACTGATAACAAATTATATCAATAACAGAAATACAAAGAAGTTTAATGAAGAACAAATAAAAATACTAAATGAACATATTACAATATGTGAAATTACCAAAGCAATAGAAAAACAGAAGAAAAACAAGTCTCCAGGACCCGATGGGATACCAATAGAAATATACCAAAGATATGAAGATCAGATTATATTTACTAAAAAAATTATTCCAAAATATAGCCAGAACTGAAAAAAATCCAGACTCATGGAACCAAGCTATAATAACATTAATCCAAAAGCCTAACACTGATGACAGGGAAATTAAAAACTACAGACCAATATCGTTATTAAACACGGATTATAAGATCTTTGCATCGATGCTAGCTACAAGATTGAGGAAATTTTTAACACAGGTAATACATCCGGATCAGGCTGGATTTCGCCCACGACGGCAAATTAAGAATAACATCAGAACGATAATAAACATTCTAGAATATTATGAAGTCCTTTTCTTATAATTCTAAATTCTCAGAACATCTGTCCTCATCAGCTAACCTGGCAGAGAGAAGTGCAAATGCCATTCTTAGATTATTTAGAAGGAAAGGTGCAGGGTTTCTCCCCACGGCCTTAAAAACCTTCCAGGCAACATCATTGGCTCAACTCCTGTATGGCTCACAAATCGGACTTTCTGCCAATCTAAAGACCCTTGAAAAGGTTCAATCCAAATTTCTTAGATCTCTATTTGGCGTTCCTAGAAGTACCTCTAATGCAACACTTAGGCAAGAGGCTGGGCTACTCAGAGTTGAAACAAAGGTCTGGGAGCAGGCTATAATGCTCTGGCTAAAAATTCATTACAACCCAAAGGGTTTAATACCTTACTTTTTAGCCTCGGATCCTTACCCTGCCTGGTCCACACAAATTCTTAATAAATTAAATCAGATTGGCCTATTCCCAGAAGATCTCTTCTATGGAAGCCTATACAAAGCAAGAAGAGCTGTCGTGCAGAGGCTTCATGATATTGAATCACAAAATGAAGAAGCTTTGCTACCTGAGAACTACAGAAACATAAAATCTTGGCCAAATTTTACTGTTACCCCTTATTTAGATAACATTACCTATGAACCCTATAGATGGGCCTTTTCCAGAGCCCGTTTTAAGGCACTCCCTTCTGCTGTACTGCAAGGTAAATTCACTCGAGTCCCAATGCATGAACGTATATGCCCATGCATGGCTAATATGGTGGAATCAATTACTCATGTCCTCCTGTTCTGCAGATTCTATCAGGAGGAACATCTTATACTACCCCTTCTATCTAGATTTAGCCCTTTGCAGTCTTATCTTGACTTTAGGCCAGAAGTCCTTCATAAATTACTCTTAGAAGACGTTCAGAGCTCAGTGACTTACACTGTGGCAAAACTTTGTTGCTTAGCTATTAGGAAACGTAAACTTATTTTAGCTGAAAAAATTGTATGATTCTCTTATTAACACTATTTTACTTTACTAATTTTAATAACTCTCTCCTGTTAATGTTTTTTATATTATTCCCATGTTATTACTGTTTTAATCCCTTTTATATCAGAATTGTACTGTTTTACTGGCTCCTGCCGCAATAAATTAGATTGATTGATTGAATATTATGAAGTTCATTCAGATAAAATAATGGCACTAATATTTTTGGATGCTGAAAAAGCATAAATTGGAAATTTATGCTGAAAAAGCTTGAAATATGGAATTGTGGTTTAAACTTCCTAACCATGATTAAAGCCATCTATAAAAGACAAGTTGTGAAAATACAAATAAATGGTGACATAACACAGGATATTGAAATTCAAAAGGGAACCTGACAAGGATGTCCTTTATCACCTTTGCTATTTATTTTTACGCTAGAGACATTAACTGATCAAATAAGAGAAAATGACTCAATCAAGGGCCTTAAGATAAAGGGAGAAGAATTCAAAGTCCAAGCCTTTGCAGATGATCTGGTATTTATATTAGAAAATCCAATAACATCAATAACAAACCTTGTAAAGATAATATAAGATTATGGACAAGTAGCTGGTTTAAAAATTAACTTCAGGAAAACAAACATTTTAACAAAAAATTGTACAAAACAACAAATAGATAAAATTCAAGTTCTATCTAAGATGGAAATAGTAAACAAGGTCAAATACTTAGGAATAACAATATCAAATTGAAATATCACTTTGATAGAAGATAATTACAATACACTACTTACGGAAATTAAAAAAGATCTACAAAGATAGAAAGACCTGAAAATTTCATTTATGGGGAAAATAGCAGCTATTAAAATGAACATTCTACCCAGATTTCTATTCTTGGCACAAAACATACCAATTTTAAGAAAAACAAATTATGTTCAAGACTTGGAAAAAATTTGTAGCAAATTTATATGAAATAATAAAAAACCAAGGATTAATCGTAAAAATATGCAAGATAGAAAAGAAACAGGCGATTTTGGGACGCCAAATTGGAATCTGTACTATAAAGCAGCAGCATTACCCTGGATAAAAAGTGGATAACAATAGGGAACACTAGGCTGCTAAATCTCGAAGGCCATAATTTATCAATGGGATGGCATAAGTATGTGTGGTATGAAGAAGATAAATCCCCTAAGAGCTTTACACAACATACGATAAGAGGAGCTCTAATGAAAATCTGGAAATAAAAAAGTGTTATTACTTAAAAATTCCTAAATGGGTAGCACCAATAGAAGAAACTGAAATATCAGTAGGGAGCAACATAAGTAGGAGTGTTCATGCAGCACACCTGCTTTGCATGCAGAAGGTCCCGAGTTCAGTCCCAGATATTTGCAGCTAAATGATCTCAGATAGGAGGGTTGGGAAAGACAGCAGCGACTACTCCAAGACTCTGGAGAAGCACTGCTAGTCAAAATTAGCAATAATGGATAGGTGGACCAACTGTCCAACTCAATATATGGTAAGCT